TTTTTTTTTTGGTTTTTTTTTTTTTTAACTCCAAAGGAAGTGGGCAATTGGCCAAGATAAGATCATGGCCCCAGCAATCTGGGCACAAATATCTTACACTCTGTGAAGAGGGTACCTGGATTTTATCAAAACTCAGAAAATGCACTTGGTGGAAAATTGAGTTTCAGTCTGGAGAACCACTTGGTCCTGCAAAGGAGGATTACAGCAAGGGCCTACACAGGGCTGTTCCCTCCTCACTGCTTTAATATCTAAACCCAAAGCAACTTCCTCCTATTGTCCTATCAGCTTCAAAAGCTAACCACCCCACAGCTACATTTTCTCCATGAAGCTGCTTCCTAACAGTGTTCCCTAAGATCAATCTGCTCCTAAAACTTAAAAGCAGTCAGGAAATCTCAAGCCCCCGAGATTTAACGAGTTTGTGTGGTATGCTTCAACTGCCTACTCTTTCACTCAAACCATAATCCCCTTTTAAAAATCTCAACAGAGACCGGGGGAGGGGGGGGGAGAATTATATGCATGATAAAAACCCAGAGTGCTGAAACATGACATCCTGAACCCACTTCTCAATTCCTTCACCAACTCTCAGGAAAACATTAAGAGAAATGTTTTGTATCCGTTTATCCCTCTGTGAAGTAGCTTTTTTTTTTTTTCTGTGTTGACTTGGTATGGTATGATGTTTAGAGTCTTCCTTAAGCAAATAAGAAGTAGGGAGTCTCCTTCAGCTCAGCAGTTAAGTACACATCATGCTATTATTTTGTCTGTCTTTCATGTGTCTCCGGAGTTGCCTTTACACACTGTTGACAAAGGAAACCCCATTCTCATAGTGAAAACATCTCCATTTGTGTACAAAGAGGCCAAACCCTAGCAGCCTGGAGAGCCTTTTCATCTCATCTACAGTCCACATTGCCCACAATGTGAGGAGATCTACAAACCTAATGCTGACAAAATTTCAGGATGTGGATCACATACCTGAAAGCCCTCTAGCTGGATGCGGAAGGAGGAGGAGTCTTCGATGTCACTGTGACACAGAGAAGAGAATTTGTGAAAGTGTTGAGTGCTGCCATCTCAGCAGACAATTAGCAGGAATGGTGTGACTTCACTCTCTTTTGAGTGGCCAAACCGCATTTGTGAAGTCCTTTCCTATCTTTAATGACACCTTGGTTAGATCCCATAATTGGGAGGAGGGTCATTTTTAGTGATTATACTCTACGTCAACTTAAATTTCATTCTCAAATTCTACTTTGATCCTGTACAAACCATGACCAGGCAAAGCTATTCCTTGGCTTCTAACTAGGAAGAGGTGAGTTCTAGCTCTCTTGTTCATCATAGTCCTCCTCCATGAGGCAGTTGTTAAGGAAAGAAGAGTCAAAGTTTCCCTTCACTATTTGCTATGATGGCTTCTCTGGCTAAGTCACTAGGTCTTCTAATATATTAGATATAGGACTTGGTCCATGAATAGCTTCCCTGATGGAAGAGCTTCCCATTACAAAAAGCCAGCCAGCCCCTTGGGGACAATGCAGGCAGCACAGCTCAGGACCCACCACTACTCACAGCACACTGCACTCTGTTGAGTGAACTCGACTGTCCTCGCAAACCTACACAAAGGGGATAAAAGCTAGTCCACTGGAAGTCTCAAAGTCTCTCTTCCTGCCTTTCCCTTCTGTTCAGGGTACTGCCTTCTGACCTAGAGACAGGCTGGTAGGTCTAACTCAGTAGACCACCAATCAAAAAGGCTAATACTAGGCTGGCCTTCTTGCAGGTATCCCATTCTGGTGGGTAAGTCTTAGAATTTCCTTCCAACTTTCTATATGAAACTGAGTGATGAGCCTTTCTCTCCTTCTGCCTTTCCCCATCATCCTGTACAGATGGAAAAGCCTTGTGTGGATGCACAAGCAGGTCACTTGCAGTACATCTGCCAGATTTGCCTTTTCTCTCTAAGTTCTGCAGGGAAGACACTACCAAATCCCCATGGCTGCTCTCATAAGCCAGGAAAGTGTCTTGTGCCTTCTCTTGGATCTGGAATCCTGAGCATCTATTACGAGATAGCAAAAAGAGTCTAAATTACAGCAAACTCAACACTATAGACTAGACAGCTAATCCAGACATGGGAGCAACAGTAGACACACCACTGGAAATAAGTCTCATACAGCTAAAAAATTCTCAGGATTATACAAAATAGAGCACAACCCTTAATTCCACCTATTATCTACTCCCATGAAACTAACTGTCCATTGGCCTATGAGACATTAAGATGTTTCTGCCTATTTATTAAAATTGCCATGTTGGGTATCAGGGTATATAGCTCAGTTGGTAAGGAGCCTGACCAGCCTGTGCATAACCATGAGTTTGATCCCCCAGAACTATACCCCCAAACAGAATTTTTGTTGTTTTTCTAATTTCTGGTTTGGACACAATAACTTTTGTTACTATATTCCATAAAGTTTCACTAGTCGAGTTCTGTTTCTGTTATTTATAAAGATTATTTGGGGGCTAGGAAGGTGGCTCAGGGTAAAATGCCTGCTATGTAGGAATGAAGACCTCAGTTCTGACCATACCACCCATGGAAAAGGCCAGATGACATCGTATATCCCTAGCACTGGGCAGGAAGAGACAGGAGGATCCCTGGAGCTTCCTGGCTGTCCAGTCTGACCAAACTAGTGAGCTCCAGGTTCAGGGAAATGTCAGATCTTGTCTCAAAAAATAAGGTGAAGAGCCATAGAGGAGCATCAACATACGGCCTACACACACATACACACACACACACACACACACACACACACACACACACACACATGCACAAATGCAGGCATATACTATCCAAACACACACAAAATCAGAAAGATGATTTCAACTACATTTATACTGTTCTGAACTATAAAATTCAAGGCCACCTCATGAAAATAAACCTTTAGCTTGAAATAATTTTTAAAATAATGACTATATCCAACTTATCTATTTTAATACTGTTAAGTCTACTCAAAGGGTTTTTGCCAAGATGAGGGTAAAAGTGTATTTTCTCATTTTTGAGTTTCCTAAATCTGTCTCTATGTTACTTTGCCTGTATAATCATCTCACCTAGTAAGACAAGTATATTTATCTCCCTTTTAAAGAGGCAAGCATTCAGATACCAAAGAATTGAAGAGAATCCCAATACCCAAAAGATTAGCTGAATAAGAGGAAAAACAAGCTAGGGAACTTTTCCTTTATCTCAAGATCGGGATAAAAAAAGAGCTTAATTACTTGAGTGAAAGCTGAAAAAATGGCCAGTGTTGTTCTGTGGATGTGCAGATTCCCAAACGAGCCCCCACTTTCCATTAGTTACAAATTGGATTCCAGGAACTACTCCCTTAATTTCCCAGGATTATAACAGTGTGGTATTTTTAGATACACCCAACAACTATTTCTTCAAATCACTGCACTAAACCATTTTAGAAGATAATAACAGCATTGCAAGTGCCCATGGTCATTTTTGGTATAACAATACATCAGCACATTTCTCTCATATTATCCTTGGTTTAGAAATGCTGAAAGTAAATTTAAGAGACTGAGTCATTTATTGCAAGTCTTATAGCTAAAAAGACCCCATTTGAGACTCAGATCAGGACATCTCACTTTCAAACCTATATGATCTTCGCTCCAGTGTGTTAAATCTCCTATGGCACATAGGACATTGCATTGGACAAATAGTTACTCGTTTTTCAATTTGTGAGGTTCTAATGTATACCTTATCCTCTTTGATTTCCCCAGTGGCCCCTGAGGTAAGATAAGATATGCTACCTGTATTAAAGATGAGGAAATTGAAGTTTAAAATAGTTTACTTTCCAACTAGGAAACAGTAGACACTTGAAACCAGACCTCTGACTTTGACTTTGCCTCCAGTTGATGTTCTCCTCTACTGCCCAGAAATTTATCCTCCATAGCTCAAGTTCTTATCCTTTAGTTAAGAGCTCAATGAAACCAATGGAAGAAAAGATGAGTAAGACAAGGCCTTAACTCCTAGGAAAACCCCTGGGAAAGAACCCACCTTTCCTGCTTTGCCCACAGGCAGCAAGGGAACTAGGAAAACAGAGGGAAGCACCAAAAAGCATGAGAGTCACTTATTCTAGAACCCAGCAATAGAGTATGATGCATCTTTAAAAGCATCTTTAAAATGAAGGATCTGAAAGGTCTTCCAGAGCAACAGAGAGACCCAAAGCAAAGGGAAGTAGCCCTGGAATTCAAAAACATGTGTCCCTCAAATTTCATATGCCAGAACTCAACCTCAGAAGGAAAGGAGTGCTTAATTAGTAGACCCTTGGAGGAGCTGATGAGGCTGTAAGGTCTCTACATTCATGAAGAGGGTAAGTGCATTTATGATTAAGCTTTAGAAAGCCACCTCCCTCTTCTCTCTCTTCTTCCATGGAGAACCCAGCATCCTATCACTCGTGAGCCTTCTGCTTCCCACCCTAAGAGGTCAAGAATAATAGCATACCATTTTGGTTTTCATTTTACAGATTTGTTTTTAATTATATGTATGCATGGGGGGGGGCGGTATGTGAATGTGCATGCCTCTGGAGTCCAAAAGAAGGAGACAGATTCCCTAGGACCTGGAATTACAGGCGATTGTGAGCCACCCTGTGTGGGTGCTGGAAACTGAACTCAAGTTCTCAGGTTCTCAGGAAGAGCATCAAGGGCTGAGCCATTTCTCCAACCTCCAAAATGTCATTTTGGAAGTAGTACCTTGATTCTGGACTTCTGGGGGTCCGATAGTGAGGAATTTCATTGGGTTGTAAATTGGTCCATCTGGGTTATTTTGTTACAACAACAGAAACAGACTGAGACAGATGAAGAGGACAAAATGCTGAAGAATTTCTCAGACACTTCTCCGTATCTCAAAGGAAGCTCCCACACATGGTTATAAGATAAGGACTGGCAGTGTGGAGATCTGGACATCTCCACCAGTCAAAGCAGGCAAGAGATACAGATGGACTGGTCATAAGAAGCAGAAGATAAAGACTTACTGTAATATAATGACACATGACTGGCATGACAGCCTTGATGTCAAAGGGGCTTCTTCAACCGCTGCTAGTAAACAGTCTTCTCATGGTAAGTTCATTCTTTCTTCGATACAGGTAAGATACAGGCACATTCATCATCTCACTTGTGGCTATAGAGTGAAAGCAAAAACCAAGCAGTGAAAACTCTAGCTGCCTTGGGAGTCATGACATACCTTTCCCCTTCAGAAAAGATGGTGACCAGCTAAAAATGCCTAGAACATGGCTTACCACCCAAAAGTGCAGCAGATCTTTTTGGACCCAAAAGTACAGCGCCCCTTCTGAGCTTCTACCACTAATGCCAGGCTCAGGAATAGGACTCTAATTATGGTCCTTTGGGAGACATTACAGACCCAAACTATCACACATCCACAAGAAAGGAGATTAACACATTGATGGAAGGATGTTTGTTTTGGGCTTCTGTTTTTTGGGAGTGCCCAAGATCAAACTTATGGCCTTGAGCAAGCTAGGCAAACGCTGTATCATGAAGCTACACTCACATCCACTAAACATTTTGTATTTTGCATAGCATGCCTGGGAAAAAGATCTAACTCTTATGTAAGGACAATGAACTACCTGGTTGTATGTCACTGTGAGATGGCTATTATTACACCTATCCCCCACCTAAGGAAATCAGAAAGTTGAATCATTTGTTCAGCATTGGGAAAATGAACATGCAAACGTGACCTCTCAACTGGACTACCAACTCAAATAAACAAAAAGATGCCTCAGGAGGGAAGTGTCCGCACTGTGGCAGGGAATATCTTCCCATCAAACTCAACACTTCAAAGGGCCATGACCTTTGAAAATGGCACAGTGGTTTACTTTCAACAGAATACAAAGAAAGAAGAACATTAAAATTATAGTAAAACTTACATTTTTGAGGAAATGTTGAAGGACCAAAAGCCAGCTCATAGGTGACTTTAAGGAGCTAATTAACAAAAGCCTTTAATTGCATAAAGAGTTTGTCTTGGTTTCATTCTCTATTGCTGTGATAAAATATCCTGAGAAAAGCTACTTAAGGGGAAGAGTTTTATTTCCTCTTAGAGTGCAAGAGTACAGTCCATCATTATAGGGTAAGTCAGAGGCAGAAGTCTGAGGGAGTTGTTCACCTCACATCCACAATCAGGAAGAGAGAGCAATGAGTGAGTGTGTAACTCACTCTATTTTATATAGTCCTGGATCTCAGTCAAGGAATGTTGCTATCCAGAGTGGACAGATCTTCCCACCTCAATTATGCAATCAAGATACTCTGCGAGAAACAATGCCAAAGTGTCCCCACCCTGGCAATTCTAGATTCATCACATCAACAACTGACACCAATCATCACATGGTCATGTAACTAGCTGCTATCAACCATAGACACAATTTACAAGTTTGGCATCACAGGCTTGAAAAGACAGCTGTGAGTTGGTTTGCTTGTTTATGGGCAGGCTGTTTGAAACAGGGTCACTCATGGTCCAGGCTGACCTCAAATTCACTAAGTAGCTAAGGATGACGTTGAACTCCTGGCCCTCCCACCTCCACCTCCCAAGTACTGGGACGATAGGTGTTTACTAACATACTCAGCAACAGCTAGGTTATAGAACTGCAATTTAGTAATGGGGCAAACTAAATTACCTATAAAATGAGATAATATGCATCTACCCATGATAGATCTACCAGATGGCTGAGAAGCCTCACTTGCATAACTTTCATATGAACTGGGTACTCTCTTCCATTATTGCTCAAAACTCACCAGGGAAATAGGAGGGGCTTTGAGCTCTGAGTGCCAACAACAGTGGGTCAATTAACGAAGACACCCTGTGTATGCTGTTGACACATGATGTGACAATTTCACCAGGGAAATTGTCTGAAATACACCCAAGAACTGCATTGATAGTATGTAGCATAATGCCCCTTTCTAGTGACCTAAAAACTTTTTTCTTATGGTTGCTCTTATTCAGATTAATATTAAGAAACTGGGGTAATAAATATGATACAATCTTTAGGTTCTTAGAGCAGTTTGGTTTATAAGGTAAGATTTTCAATTCATTTCATATACATTCCAAACTAAGCATATGGCCCAAGTATTAAATCCTGTCCCCAGCCTTTACTCACTGCCTTGTGCTAATAATGTCTTTTTAAAGTCATATTTGTCTTATGCAAAACCTGAAGCTAAAGAAACAATATACTTACCCCTGCTTGCTGCACAGAATTCGCGCACTCACAACACCGAAGTCAGAACAATTGTGTCGGGATAAGGGGACAAGTCATCAGCTCAAACCATTAGCTCTTCTAGACTTTACTGAAAATGAGCTTCAGATGAAAAAGGACAGAAGTGACATGAGATGACGTCCAAGCACATGGTGTCTGTGATGACTAATGCTCACTGTCAACTTGACAGGGTGTGGAATGATATTGCAGATAAATCTCAGCGTGTCTGGAAGTGAGTTTCTAGTTTAGTTTAACCACGATAGGAAGACCTACCCTCGCAGACGACACCAGGCATGGGCTGGGATTCTCACATGTATAAAAAGACGACATCAAAATGAAGCTAGGCACTCTTCACTTTCCGCTTCTTGAATACAGGCACAACGTGGCCACATCCTCCTGCCGGCACCACCACAATTTCCTTGTGGAGAACGATTCTATCCCATCAAACTGTAAGGCTAAAGAGACCCCCAATCTCCCTGAAGTTGTTTGTGTTATGCATTTTTGTCAGAGCAGTGAGGAAAGTAACTAGTACAGCGTCTGGTAGGGACTGGTAGAAATACCTGATTAGAAGTGAATTACCAGAAATTCTGCTGAATTAAATATATGCAAGGCATGAGAGGATCTGGAGTCAGCCAGCACACAAAGCTCTGAGGCATGTTTGTGGGGTGTTTTCAGAAAGGCTTACCAAGTGAGAAAATTCAGCCTGAATGCAGGCAGCACCATCCCATGGACAGGGGTCCCAGACTACATAGAAAAGAAAAGTGAAACACCAGCATTGTCTCTCTCTGCTTCCTGAATGTGGGTGTCATGTGACCAGCCATCCCACCACCACCACACCTTCCCTGCCATGAGGGACGGTACCTTCAAACTGTGAGCCAAAATAAGTCCTTCCTTCCAAATTAACTTGTTCTTGTCAGGTATTTTATCAAAGCAACAAAAAAAGTAACTATTAACCACTACTGTTCATGGTACACACTAAAAAAAAAAAAAAAAAAAAAAAGGAGAATTATGGATAAACTGTAAATGTTCAATAAAATTATTGAAGCAACTTGAATAGGGATAACCTTCTATGAAGTGATTGCCAAACTACAAATTCAAAGAAAGATTCTGCTTACAATTCGACACAAGACCAGAGCACTGGGGTAGATTTACTGGGACAGAACTGCAGTAATGCCTCAGGGCTCTCAAGGGGACATTCACAAGACAGAAGCCTCAGAAATAAGGCAGATTTGCCAAGCTTGTGGTTTCGGTCCCTGAACCAATGTCAGAGAATGAGTCGCTTGTACTGACAGTGAAGAATGGGCAGGGGAAAAAGGAGGCCAGGAATCCCAGAGACAGACCTCTGCCTGTGTGGGAGTCATGATGCCCTCTCCCGACCTCATTGTCCTCCGCTACTGTTTTTTTAAATGACAGAGGAAACAATAGCCAGCTCCACAGAAGCCATTTCCACAAGCCAAATGTCAAGTAAGGGCTGGCAGGGCCTGGGCAAAATTAAAAGTGATGGAGGGAAAACCAGCTCACCCCATCTAACTGCTCCAGGCCCAGGGGGGTTGCCCTTGGGTGGAAGCAGCCTGTCTATTTATTGTCCCTGCTGGCGGCAGGAATCCCAGACTGAGGCAATGCCACCTTGAGCTTTTTTGTGATGTCATGTACAACATCAAAGAGAATGACCCAGAAGGTTGTGTGTGTGTGTGTGTGTGTGTGTGTGTGTGTGTGTGTACCAGGCCAGAGGTCAGCATTGGTGTCTTAACTCAATCACTCACTTTATTTAGATAGGATCTCCCAATTAACCTGGAGCTGATACAGCTAGGCTCCCTGGCCAGTGAGTTTCAAGGATCTGTCTGTTCCTGCTTTCCACCGGATTTACTGAGCCACACCACCACACCAGCTTTTGCATGGGTGTTGGGATCCGAACTCTCGTTCTCATGCTTGAGTGGCAAGTACTTTACAAAGGAATCTTTTTCCTGGCTCCCAGAAGGGACTGTGTTAAAACTCACCATGTCAGTCATGTTCTTTTCCATGCCCGAAGCCCATGCACCCCAGAGTTCCCTAGGCACTCACTCCATGACTGCGGGAAGGTGGGTGAGGAACTCCCCTGTCTTTTCCTAATCACTGGCAGATACTCCACTCCAGCCTCCTGGTGGCTGAACTGTTGGTCTCCCCCTCCCCAACCACTCACAGTCCAATTTGGGGAAATCAGCAGTGAGTTGATAGCAGGGCAAGGAGCTCCAGGTGGTGGGGGAAAAGGCTCTCCACAATTAGCATTTTTCCTTTGAAATATCATCATATCCCTGAAATGTTATAACTCAAGTGCCCTTAATTTTCTGCAGATTCTTATTTTGCAATGTGAACAAGATCCTCCAGCCCAGGGAAGAATCATCTCATAGGAAAAAGACTAGCAACTTGGAAGGCTCCATGTAACCACTTGTCTTAAAACCCAGGCTCTCAGACGCAGACATAGATCTAAATATGACTCCAAGTTCAATAGCCCAGGCTCTCACACACAGTAAAGGCATGAGAGATGAGGCTAGTTGCCCTACCCGACTCTGCCAGAAACACACTATGAGTTTCTCATTAGCAGCAAGCAGGTGTCTTGGAATAGAGTACCACTTCTAGTCTAGACAGAACCACCCTGGATCTCAAAAATCAGGGGTGTGTATGTGTGTGTGTGTGTGTGTGTGTGTGTGCGCGCGAGCACGCGCAAAGGGTGTCTGCCTTATTGGAGATCACCATTTTTAGGATCCACCCCACTCCCCACCATTCCTTTTTCCATGGAGTGAGATATGTTTATGGAACCTTTGGTGCAAACTTCAGATTAATGTTACATTGGAACAAGAGTACTTTAGATTAGCCCTAAAGAATAGGTTGGAAATTTTTCAACTTCTTTTTAACTACCCCAAAAATATGTACAACAAGC